GAGTTAATTTTACAACATATATTAATTTGTTACTTTTGTAAGTTTATTGTTATAAATTAAATAATTAATTTTGTAAAGTGTAATTGGATAGAGTTTGCAGTTACTACATACTTAAACTGCATAGACTCTACGCTAAAAGGCTCTACATTTTACTACGCTAAAAGGCTCTATATTTTACAACACTTAAAGGCTCTATATTTTACTACACTAAAAGGCTCTATATTTTACTACGCTAAAAGGCTATTTATTTTACTACGCTAAAAGGTCACTATTACATATAAAAACAACTAACATAAAATACAAATATGAACAACAAACAAAATAAATAATATTAATTTTTTAACAATATAAATAATTTATCAAATTTTAACAATTTTTTGTACCAAAGCTAATAAATCAATCCGGGTATAAATAAGATACAAATTTAAACACAAACATAACACAAATTAACATGCAAACACATTAAACAATACAAATATGCATGTACTATACGAGTTTCGACATAAACAAAATCGAAATACCTCGATTTAAGTTTTTTGAATTTGATTGAAATCGAATTTTTGCACCCGAAAAAAGGAATCCAAAGCTTGTCTTGTATGTGGGACCTACACTCCTTGCTCTTTAGGTGACGGGTGGGGCCCAAACAGCTTTAATAAAATATAGTTGAGCCCAGATTTTAAGTAAAATGCAGTATAGTACTGCGAATTACAAAAAAAATTAAAGTAAAACGCAGTATAGTACTGCATTTTACTTTAACGGCTAAATTTCCGTTAAAGTAATTCGTAGCATAGTACTGCGTTTTACTCATTTATGTAATTTTTTTAAATAGTAGAAAAGTGTTTTTTGTCCAAAAAATCATCAAAAAAGTTTCGGACTCATTGAGAATTTACAGTTGAAGGAGATGGTGGAGATGAGGCAGCAGAGGGGGTGTTCTTGGAGGTAGCTGCAGTGGGGGAGGGGGGAGGGGAGTGGATCAGAGTAGAAAGTAGAATCCAGACAAATTTTTTAAAATTACTAGTAAAATTATTTTTTAAAAGGTGTGGGACAGCAAATTACATGTGTCAAATAATAAAAAAGCTAAGCCTCTGACATATTATCAAAGTCAATGCATTGAGGTACACACTCAATCCAAAGTGTTTATTAGTATTTAATTTGTTAAGTTGAAGTATTAAAATGAAAAATCCAAAAATATATATACCGACTTGACAAATGTATGCAAATTTAGGTGACCAGTCGACCATTTTTCCTTATATCATAACAATTGACGGTAGTTATAATCCCGTGATGCTGATCAATAGAGAAACATCACTTTAAAGTTCAAAGGTAAATAGTTATGAAATTGAATTTTCCAAATTTATGACAATTAACCTAGAATAGAATTATTAGTAGAATTATTTTAAACATTCTAGACCCTAACATAATTTAATATAAATTGGACAAAATACATAAAGATTCTATTAAACTTGTCCAGAAAATAGGTTTGAACACTTAAACTAAACGACTATTTTTTTACCCCTTAAACATATAGTGAGTAATTTTTTTTCCATCCTCCATGAGACCAGACCAGTTAAAGAGTAACGAGTGTGATCTACGCTCTTTCTGGTGATGCCGTATCATTAATGAGGTTTGCCATTTTAATGACCCGATCCATTACTAATAAACTCACGCGATTAAAATACCCGACCCACTTTGTTTAAATTTTTACCCTAGTTTTCTAACCCCGACCTCATTTAATTCTAAACACAACAAGAAATGGTCTGATGAACTCAAAACTCAGTGTAGATTTTTCCCCAAATCTCACCGGTTAAAGCGTAGATATTGAATATTGTTGGCTTCTCTTGTAGGTAATTTTTTTGTCGTCAATTTCTTGTCAAGCTTGACATGGTTGCAGCGCACTTCTTCATTTCAACCCAGGTTCATTATCTTCCATGCAAAGCCTAGCCAAATTAGTTGACCTCATTATGTGTAAAACAAAAAATAAGAGAAAATCCATCAAATAAGAAGACATTCGAACCACTCAAAACAAGTCCTAAAATCATATGCCAAAAGATTATAGAGAAGAATAAGGCTTTGATTCACATAAAAGGGTTTGATTTTGTTCGAAATTTCATATGTTAGGCTAGAAATTGTGACTAATTGAAAGAGAGGGAGATTTAGGGTTATTGAAAAGGAGAAAAATAATTGGATAGGATAATTCAATTTTACCGTTGGGGTTCTATTTATAAAGTAAATGTAATTTTAAAATAATTTTTCTTTTTTAATTCATTTTATCCGTTAAATTTAGTGTAAAACGTGCTCATAAATGATATAATTCCATGCGCCAGATCTGGTGTCATGGAGGGTGGAATAAAATTCACTCACAATATGTTTAAGAGGGTAAAAACCCCATTTAATTTAAGTGTTCAAACCTGTTTTCTAAACAAGTTTAACGGGGCCTTTATGAATTTTGCCTATAAATTGAGATGAATAGAGTACTTTTTGTTGGTTAGGGTTGAGCTGTCAAGAATTTTTCTCATGAGCTAACCAACCAGCCTGAGTATCTGCTGCTTTAAACAGTAGTCACATCAAATGGTTTTTTATGTCCCCTTTAAAATGACAATACTCCTTCACCTTAATTGAATTTTTGACTTTTTTCGTGTGGTCTGTAATATTTAATTTTTCAGATATAAAAAAACTTAACTTTTGTTTTCCAAAGTTGTCTTTGGAATAAAGAGTTTAGAAGTATTTATTATATCTTAATGAACAAAGTAAGACTAATATAGTTAATTTTATTGTGAATTAATGCTAAAATATGGATTCCATAATGTGTAAAAATAGCCAAAAAATCAATTAAACTGGACCAGAGGGAGTAATACTTTCATCTATTTTATCAGTCTCTAAAGTTTTTGTATTCTTTAAGAAAGATATTGTTTACCCATAAAACGGTACAGTTGAATATATATACGTGGTTTCTAGACAAGTAAATTAATTCGATCCTAAAATAATAAGATGATTGAAGAAATATATAATACTTAGCCTTAATGTAAAGATAAAATAGCAGAAATAGCGTTTTCGGGCGCAACAATAATAAGAACAAAAAAATAAGAAGATAAAGTTGTATAGAGCTTAGTATAGATTAGAGTATCAGTTTTGCCAGCAAAAATTGTGTCTTTTATAATGGTAACATAGCTCACTATTTATAGTTACACCTGGGGAATAATAACCTAGGATTAAGTCTCTCTTCAGTGCCAATTACGAAGGCCATTGAAGAGTGTGTAATGGCAGGCATAAATGACAAACTCTTTATAACGGGCAGTGCACTCAATGTTGTGGAATATTCTTCACTAATGCCACCAGGCGGAGGGTATTTATTGCATCTTTATGAGTGTCATTCCTTTCGGTACCAAACGAGATATTTGCCTTTCGTTCCACGTGTCATTCTTTTAAGCGGCCACCTGTCAAAGCATATTTTGCCTTATACAGATAGTCCCCCTGCTTTCCGGTGACAAAACTTTGTGTTACCGAAAAGTTGGTAGAAACATTCTTTTTGGCGGGAATTTCTCTGATCTCCTCTAAAAGGCCCCTGACAGTTGATTAGACGCACGTATCTCCATATTTAATGCCCCAAACATGCGTCATCTCATGATTTAACATAATTTTTACCGGATATCAAGGCAATTATGGCCACTAATTTAGTCGCTTATACCTTCACTTATACGCATCAACTTCCTTCATTGTATTTGATAATTCTCCAAACTCTCTTCATTCAACTTGTATTTTGTTCTTCAACCTTCTCTTAACTCTCTTCAAACAAGAAAGTTTTCCCTTATTGCATAACATACAATGGCCTCTTCTTCAAAAAAATACCATTTATTCAAAGAGCAAGAGCAAAGTCGAGGACGCTGCTCCTCCAACAATGTTTTCCATCATCCCTCGAAGTCTTGTTACAACAAAGGACGTCGAAGAGAAACATCCTTCTATTAGCTCTTGCACATGGGCCATTAGTAGATATCCTTATTCTATCCGTCCTTCCAGTATTCCTGTTGTGAAGGAATATTGTCGTTGCGAGGATTT